TACTTCGGAGTCTTGGTGTGTATATTAGACAGTTGATCCACAACACCGCATCGGTGACCTTCTGTCTTCACATCGGCTAGTCTTCGATTTTGCCAATGGCTTTAACTATGTACCAAGACACCAACTTACAAAGAACCAATAACTACTAAGTGTTGCCAAGGTAGAGGAACAGATCAGTGGGTCATTACCAAATCAATAGGTGACCCAACAGTTACTTATACGAATTCAAATGGAGCTTTAATAAGTTGTATTTACGCACAATTTACTTGTAATCTTATATTTTAAGTAATATGCATTAATAAAAAATGATTTTTAAGAGTTTTTGTCAAATGTTTTATAATATAAAATAAATAAATCATTAAAAATATATTTTGAAATGTATGTTTTCTAACATAATAATTGAATAAAATATATGTTTTCTGATATATAATTTGTTCTTTAATTAATATAATAAAATAGCAAAACAGTGGATAAGCCCAAATAATTAAAGCACACGATCACATTTTTCACGGGTTTTTTTATATTTTTTATTTTCTCACATTTATATTAATTATATTATTTTTTTCATATTTATTTTTTTTATTAAAATTAAATAACAATAATGTAATTAATATAATCAAACAACATAAATCTATAATCAATACATATTTTACAGACCCTGTTCAAAATCACATTTAACATGTTAAAGAACGACTTTGATGTCTTCTTTTTCACTTATCTTGTAAGATTCTCGATCATTGCTATGTCTTTTATCGGATAAGATTTTTTTTATCAAACTATAAAGTTTTTATCTAAAAATGTTAAATAGGTATATAGGATGTTTTTAGGCGTCTTAACAAAAAAAATTAGTACGCTTTTAATATAAAATATTTTATTAGCTATTTTATCAAAAGTGTCCTATAAACCATTTTTTATAGGAAATTTGTGCTTATAGAACACTTTTTTCAAACAACGTCGTATTAAAATGTCTTACAAAAAATGCGCGTTGTTGCGCGCTGTGGCACGCTTCAAGGCCCCATGACATGAGTCACGCCTTACAGAAACATTATAGGTCATATCGTAACAACAGAGACACGTCTTGCGTTATATCATGTCTTTTTGATCACTGAGGTATAATGATATCCAATGGGATGGTTTTATATGCCACGTAGGATGAACTATTTTCTCTTTAGGAGATTGGTGGTCGGCCACCTTTTCTTCAGGAGATTCGATAACTCATATGTTACATTCGTATTTTCTTTTTATTAATTTTTAATTATTTAGTTTTTACTTATAACGTTGAGTGTCACCGTATATATTTTGAAACTAAAAATGGTAATATAAATGATAAATCTTCATTTCAATGTTTAGTTTTTATTACTTGTCTTTATCGATATAATACGATTTTATGTGGTTTTGTGAAAGTGGTAATATTTTTATCTTTGAATAAATATAAATTTGAAAATGGAATAAAAATTTTAAAAAAAATCGATATTAATATCAAATTAATTATTTAATAGTTCTCGTTTTTTTGTGTAACTTCTTTAATTCAAATTTTTTATTATAATTTAATTTACATTTAATAACAAATAATTTATTTTTGGTTTAATAATATAATTTTCTATAAAGATAATAATTGAACATTATGTTATAACTCAATGATTATCTTAATTATCTTAATTATATTTTAGATTTTTTATATTTAAAATGGATATTTATCATGTATTTGTCTATGTTTTTCTGCAATTAGTTACATGAATTTAAAAATAGAGATTTAAGAAGTTGTACTTACGCAAAATTACTTGTAATCTTCAATTTTAAGTAATATGCATTATTAAATAGTACTTCATACATAAAAAATGTTTTTTAAGAGTTCTTGTCAAATGTTTTATAATATGTACTATATTATAAAGCATTTGACAAAAACTTTTAAACCAATTTTTATACATAAAATACTGTTTATTGATGCATATTACTTAAAATTCAATATTACAAGTAAATAATGTGCAAATATAACTTATTAAAGTTTAATGCTTGAATTCGTATAACTAACTGCGGATAAACATAATCAAATACTGGATAAACATTTCGTTTTAAACATA